CCCCCCCTCCCCCCTTGTCATGTCAGCTATTGTGGATGTGCTTGTAGTTCCGGCTCTTGTGAAAGGGGTTGCCTGAGGTCTCATTGGCATGCATCTTACTGTGGGGTCCCAGAGCCCATGGCAGGATTGCGGGGATCCCAGGGCCAGCTACTGAGGTAGTGCGACACTGGCTGATGTGGTCAGTTACTCAGGTGGTGTCACTCTGTGAATCCCTGCAGAGATCCTGGAACCTGTATCTGGGGAGGCAGGCATCCTGGGGGTGTTGCTGAAGCAACGTGGGTTTGGCAGGAGAAGTGTGCACTCCGAGACTTGCTGAGAGGTCCAGGAGCCGAGGCACTATAGTTCAGGGTCTGCAGCTGAAGCACCGGGCTTGGTAGGAAGGTTGCGTGCTCTGGGGAGGCTGGGGTTTGCATGTCTTCAGATAAGGTAGCAACTCTTTGGCCGGATTGGCTCCAGGGTCTGGGATGGTTTCTAAGGCCAGTCTGGGTGGTGGTGAGACTGGGCTCCTAGTCCCAGCAGTTCTCCCCTGAAGATTGAGTGGTTTCTGTGCCAGAGCTAAGACTCCCCAGCAGTGCTTGCAACAATAGCAGGGACTCCCCATCCAGGAGAACCTGGTCTGCCAGGCCCTGAGACTTCTGCAGGATCTAACTGTCCCTCACTCATATTCTCTCTCTCTCCCTCTCTCCCTCTCTCTCTCTCTCTCTCTCTCTCTCTCTCTCTCTCTCTCTCTCTCACACACACACACACACACACACACACACACACACACGTACACCTACATACGTACACACACTCCCCTCTCAGTCCCACACTGCTATCCTGCTGGCTGCCATCTTAAATCTCTTGAGTTATTTTTATAGTGGCTACTTAGAGATTAAAATTAATTTAAACCAAAACTGATCTTTTCTTGGTCGAAACCGGTTTGGCTCAGTGGATAGAGCGTCAGTCTGCGGACTGAAAGGTCCCAGGTTCGATTCCGGTCAAGGGCATGTACATTGGTTGCAGGCACATCTCCAGTAGGGGGTGTGCAGGAGGCAGCTGGCCGATGATTCTCTCTCATAGATGTTTCTAGCTATCTATTCCTCTCCCTTCCTCTCTGTGAAAAATCAATAAAATACATTTTTTTAAAACTGGTCTTTTCTTGATTAGAACCAGTTTAATTTCAATACTATTATAAAAACTTTGCTGATGTAAGGAGACTTGACTTGAGGTGGTAAGCACAATACAATATGCAAATGTTGTATTATAAAATTGTATAACTAAAACCCATATAATTTTATTAACCAGTGTTACTACCCTTAATAAATAACCAAGAAATAAACTTTGCTCCTATATGATGCCATTTTCTTCTCACGCCTTTTTGCTGTTAGGGTCATATAAATTGGCTCTTTATATATTGTATGCCCATCAAACCAGATTTATAATTATTGCTGTATGCAGTTGTCTTTTAAATCAGCAGAGAAAAAAGTTACAAAAAATCAGCTTTACCGTTCTATTATATTTACCTTTAATAGTTATCTTGACCTATAATCATTTTTAATGTGAATTTGATTTACTGTCTAGTGTCATTTTATTTTAGCCTGAAGTACTAAGTTCCTTTAATATTTCTTACACTCCTTTTTTTTTTTTTTTTAATTGATTTTAGTGAGAGAGAAATATCAATTTTTTGTGTCACTTATTTTCGCATTCATTGGTTGATTCTTGTATGTTCCCTAAAGGGGGATTGAACTAGCAACCTTGGCATATCGGGGCAATGCTCTAATCAACCCTACTTAGCCAGGGCCCTTTAATATTACTTATAGGGCAAGTCTGATAGCAAGACATTCTCTATTGTTGTTTCTTAGTCTAGGGGTATCTTAATTTCCTTATTTTGAATGAATATTGCTTCCCTGTTTTCCCAAAAATAAGACAGTGTCTTATATTATTTTTTTTCTCCCAAAGTTGCGCTAGGTCTTATTTTCAGGGGATGTCTTATCTTTCCATGCGCTAGGTCTTATTTTCAGAGGATGTCTTATTTTCGGGGAAACATGGTAGATATAGAATCTTGGTTGACTTTTTCTATCAGCACTTTGAATATGTCATCTCACTACATCTGGCCTTTGTGATATCTAATGGAAAAAAATTAGCTGTTAATCTGTCACATTGATCTCTCTCTCTCCCGCCCACCCCCCACTCTAAAATTTCAGTGGAAAAAAAAAAATATCAATACCTTTGAATGAGGATAGGGAGGGAAGGAGAAAAGGAGGGAGGGAGACCAGTCTTCTGGCTGGCTTAAAGATAGTATTTATTAACTGTACCCACCCCCCATAGATGAGCCATATTTTCTTGTTTTCCCTGATGTCTGATAATTTTTGTTAACTATTGGCCGCTTTAAATAATGTGACTATTGTAATCAAAATTTTCTCCCTCCCTTATGATTATTACTACTCTTTATTGTTGCTTTAGAGCTTGCTGTTTATTTAGTTCTCTGAGCGAATTCTGTTGTAAAGTCAATATTTTTTTTAGTTTATTTTGTATGATTTGGCATTAATTTCCTTAAATGTGATTGAGTCAGTACCTTTCCTGTTGTTTGCCAATGGCTTTGTGTACTTGAAACATACTTCAACATTCATCTACACAATTAACAAACCTGCCTTGCTATTCACTTGATCAGTGTTGAGAGTTTACAGCCTTGTCAGGTCTTTTCTGAATATATGCACTGGCCTACATTTGCACATGACCTATTAACCCAGAACCTTCTCAGAACCTGTCAGACCCTCTAAGGTAGGGGTGTCGAACTCAATCAGAGAAGGGGCCAAAATCTAAAATCCTGCCAAAATCGCGGGCCGAATGGTTTACTGAACAGTCATAAACTGTCATTGTGATGGAAACGCAGCGGAGTGCAGTGATGACAGCGCGGTGCGGGCCACATTGCAAGGCCTGGTGGGACGGATTTGGCCCGCGGGCCTTGTGTTTGACACATGTGCTCTAAGGACTTCGCACTCCCCATCTTTTCTGTTTAGCTTATTGTTTGTCCCTGCCTTCTTCTAAGTCACGTGATGTTAAACAATTCCTTCTGGCTATTTTAAGCAAACATCCCCAAGAGGAAGATTGTTTGCACTGGATGAGCACTGATTCGATTGGAAGACAAGCTGTGCATGTTGGTTTTACAGGGAGTTGTCACACAGATCAAATAATGGCAGTTTCTGGGAATGAGGGTTTGGAAAACTTCCTTCACTGACTGCTAGGCTGATGGTTTTCACAATGATGGCAGCTTGTTTATTTTCAAGAGTACTACTAAACTGGAGAAACGAGCATAGAAATAGAGCAAGTTTAAATGCCACAGTGTTCACTATACATTTAGCCATTTTAAAATAATAAATGCTCCTAGAGCATTTATTTTACAACACTGATTATTTTTGAGAGTTCTATGAAAGTTGATTTTGATGATTTGTGTCAATGTTCTCGTATACTTTTATGGTTGAGAGGAGTTTTTGAAGCTTCTCAATCCATGGTTCCTAATGAAGCCACTCAGAATGTAGAAGTTTAAAATGAAAACCATGGGAAGTGATTGAAGGGCTTTACACAAAAGAGTAATTTAACCAGATTTGATCCACAAGTCAAGGTAAGCGTTATTGGTGCCTTATAGATGAAGCATCTTGAGTCCTCAAGGATTTAGGTGATTTTCCCCCCTGAAATAGCAATGTTTGTCTTAACAGACTAGAAAAAGAAGCAGGTTTCCTGGTCTTCAGTGTTCTTTTTGTACTAAGTTATTTTTAATGCTTAGTGTAGTTAAACTTGAGTAATTCTAAGAAACAAAAGAACAAGGCTCGGCTGCTAGTCGGGACTGATAAACTATTCATATGTGCAGAACTACCAAGCAGTGGTTCATAATGTCAGTAATCTGTGCTATTTGTTCAAATAATTAATGCTTTGATTTTCAAGGGGCAAAAATGTAAGAGTGCCTTTCTTACATTTCATGGCAAGTTAATTATTTTGTTCCATTTTTTCTTAAACATTAGAAAAATAGGCAAAGTATACAAGTAAATAGCAACATTGGAAGAATGTAGATTTATTATAATTTAGTATGTTACTTTATACCATCTACTGACCTAGTCGAGATGATAAAGGCATTCTGGGGTTTGGGGACATAGGGTCTGTGACACACTGTGGGTTCTTGGCCTTGGAGAGGACAGAATTAACAATGAGCCAGCATAGAGTTTAAAGTGAAAGTAACTTTATTGGTAAAGCAGTGAGATAAAGAATGGGCTGCTCCATTGATAGAGCAGTCCCCTTTATAGAAATTTGCTTTCTTTATTGAGGTTCATTTAATTGGAGATAGGGTATTCACTAAGGGGGAAAAATATTCAGGATCTTCCCAGAAAAGGGATGGGGACTTTTTAGAGGGACTCCAGTAGACATATTGTGTCCTTATATCGGCTTTCCGTTTCAAATAATAAAAGTATGATATGTGGTTTAGCATGCTGATGTATTACAATCCTATATAATAAAAGGGTAATATACAAATTGATCCTAACAGGGGAACCACTGGTCACTATGACGCACACTGACCCCCAGGGGGAAGAAGCTCATGCAAGAGCTGCTCCCTGGTGGTCAGTGCATTCTTATAGTGGGGAGTGCCGCTGAACCAGAAGCCCGGCTCACAGCTGGCAAATGCAGCCCTTGGGGAGCGGGCCTAAGCTGGCAGGTGGACATCCCTCAAGGGCTCCTGGGCTGCAAGAATGTGCAGGCTGGTCTAAGGGACCAACCTTGTGCGTGCATCCCCCTTTCTCTCCCCCCCTCCCCCGCACAAAAAAAATTCATGCACCGGGCCCCTCTAGTGAGTATATAATGAAGCTAAGGGTTACCCTTAGGTAAAATTGGCCCCCATGTTGGATCCAGCAGGTCTTCTGCAGGTTTTAAGTTATAAATGCAGTAGGCAGTGGTCTTTTTTGTTGACAGTTCCTGTAGCTTAAGTGCAGAATTGACTAAAATTACCTAAACTTTTATTTTTCATTTAGGTTACTTACAACAGGAAAACCTCACTTCTACCTGTCAGACTTTTATTTTGGAAAGTTCACATTTAAAAGAATATGCAGAACACTGTACAGATGAAGGTTTTATCCCAGCCTGTTTACTGGTGAGTGATTTCTTTTTCTTAATTATTTCATCATTGACTAACACAAGATACTATACACACAATCATAAACTGAGCTCATCATCAAAATTAGCAGAAACTTGATAGTGTGTATTCATGCATAATTGGAAACACCCAAAGCTTGTCAGCTCTTCTTTTCACACATTTATGACAAAGTTTGCCTTTGGAAATCAGTTTCGAATTGATAACTTCATTTCTAATTATATTCACTGCGGATTGTCTGGGGCTTACAGTGGAAAATCAGTTCTCTAACTGTAACTGGACAAACAATGGGTCTGTGCTGCCTGTCACTACTCCAGCCAATTAAGCAGAGACAGGGTTGAATCATATATGAGCATTTATTCCTATACTGCCAGAAGTATGGGAGAGCAGCAGGTTATCCACAAAAATCGGCTCCCCAGGCTACCATAAGTCAGCTGTTGTATCAGCATAGTATAAAGGAAAAGTAGGCAAAAGGGTATGTTACAGATAAGCAGAAGAACTGAGGATCTTTAAAGGGTTTAGTGATATGCAAGGGCTGGGGTTACACAGGGAAATAGCCAAAGGGAGCACCAAAATTAATATGTAAGCAGGCTGGAGATTTGCAGTGGCCTACAGGTATCCAAAAAGGGCTGGGGATCTTCAAAGGGCTGGCAATTCTGGTTTCTGTAACAAATCTTTGTTAATCTTTCTATGACATATGTGTCAAACACAAGGCCCGAGGGCCAAATCCGTCCCGCCAGGCCTTGCAATGTGGCCCACACCGCGCTGTCATCACTGCACTCCGCTGCGTTTCCATCACAATGACAGTTTATGACTGTTCAGTAAACCATTCGGCCCGCGATTTAGGCTGGATTTTAGATTTTGGCCCCTTCTCTGATTGAGTTCGACACCCCTATTCTATGATAATGGGCAGCTCCAAATGGGGAGGGAGGCTGCATCACCAGGTCAGCAGCAGCCAGGGTAGAATGTGCCTTCTTTAATCAGAATAAACAGTCATGGTTAACAGAGCGTGATTAATATTTCTTACAGTATTAGCTGGTTCCCCAACATTCTATTACTGCCCCCTTTCATAACTTAATTTATTCTGGAAAGTTGTTCTGAGAAGTGATTTAGTATTCAAAAATGGAATCCTATTTTCTAATTTAAAATAAATGTAAATTGATTAATTTGTTTCAGACCCCCAAATGATTCCGTTTTAACCTTTCTTATATCTAGTACATGTCTAATAGCCTTAAATAAATCCCTTTCAACATTCATTCCATGAGTGCAGCATCTTCATTTTTTCACATATCACTGCCTCCAAAATGCTTTTGGTTTATCCAAATCAACAGCAGTTTTTCTATCTCTTCTCTTATCTGTGATCATCGTTTCTTTCGTACTCTTAGCAACATTAGCACCCATGATGGTTTCTTTATGTTTTAAAACTGTGTTAATTGTCTATTTCTGCCAGCAACTAAAGCAAAAAGAAAACAAATATTCACTGCACAATTTCCTCAGATGTAAGCAAGACAGGATTTAATTGTAAACTATTACTCGCCCATTCTCTCCTTTGTGCCATGAGACACTTTTTGTCAAGCTGATGTATCATCGTGAAAGGGTTGTCAGGTTGAGAACTGAAGTTAAAATGGAACTGTTCAAGATGGGAGACATTCGAAAGTCAAGGTTTGACTGTACTTGTTTCCTTCCTGTTATGGATTAAATATTTATGTCCCTTCAAAATTCATTATATTAAGACCCTTACCCCCAGTGTGGTGATATTTGGGTATAGGACCTTTGGGAAGTAATTAGGTTTAGATTGGATCATGAGGTTTGGACCCTCATACTGAGAATAGTATCTTTATAAGAAGTATACAGAGAGAGATCTTTTAATGTGCACACACCAAGGAAAGGCTATGTGAGCACACAACAAGAAAGGAGATGTCTACAAACCAGGAAGTTGGTTCTCACCAGGAACCAAATCGCCCATCACCTTGTTCTTAGACTTTTCAGCTTCAAGAACAGTGAGAAGTAAATGTTATTTAAGCCACCTGGTCTATGTTATGGTATTTTATAACAGCCCAATCTTTTCTATTTTGTTGCTTACTTCAGACCAATATAAAACAGGTACTTTGATACCTTCTTGTCACCACTAGACCAACAGAGTGTCATTTGATATTGAATGGATATATTCTGGAACTACATTATTTAAAATGACATTTTGTCATATTCACTTCATTTGTCACAAATGACATGTTTATCTTTAGAGGAAATGTAAATCTGCAAACCTGCTAGAGCAGCTGTTGACAACCAGTGGTCCACAGAACACTTGAGGTCTGAAAGGTTGGTGACCACTGTGCTAGAGTTTAGTAAGGTCACAGGATGCAAATACACAAAAGTTCATCATATTTCTTTATAACCATATCTAGAGGCCCGGTGCACAATTTATGCACTGGTGGAGTCCCTCAGCGTAGCCTGCAGGGATCAGGCGAAAACCAGCAGTCCAACACCGCCTGCTGCTCCTGCCTGCTACTCTACTCATCTTGTCCCCACTGCATCTGCCACAGCCGCCACTTGGTAGGCTCACTGCACTCCGATGTGGTTTCTGGGGTGGAATGGCTAGCCAGGTGCCCATCCATCAGCTGAGCATTTGGTGTCAGCATCTTTGAGTTTATCTTGTTTGGGACTCTGCATTTCTTGGACTTAATATGTCTATTTCCTTCATTGTGCTAGAGAAGTTTTCTGTCATTATTTTTTTCAAATAGGTTTTTAATTTCTTGCTCTTTCTTTTGTCCTTCCAGCACCCTGTGGTGTCAGTGTTGTATTATTACACTTGAAATTGTCCCAGTGGCTCCTTACACCATATTTTTTTTTTTCTTTTTTTCTTTTTTAAAATATATTTTATTGCTTTTTTACAGAGAGGAAGCGAGAGGGATAGAGAGTTAGAAACATCCATGAGAGAGAATCATCGATCAGCTGCCTCTTGCACATCCCCTACTGGGGATGTGCCTGCAACCAAGATACATGCCCTTGACCGGAATCAAACCTGGGACCTTTCAGTCCACAGGCTGATGCTCTATCCACTGAGCCAAACCAGTTTTGGCTTTATTCTTTTTTTTTATTGCTATTTTGACTGGGTGTTTTTTGCTTCCTTATATTCTAAATCATTGATTTGTTTCTTGGATTCATGTACTATTTATTGATTCCCTGTAAACTATTCTTCATTTCAGATGATGTTCCTTTATTTAACTGACTGGTTTTATTTATGGTTTCCATGTCCATGTTTTATGCTGTTGAAGCTCCTTCTAAGTTCATCTACTCTTTGCTCAAGCTCATTCGTCATCCTTATGACCAATATTTTGAACTCTGCATATAGTAAATTGCTTGCTCCATTTCATTTATTTCCTCTTCTGGAGTTTTGTTATGTTCTTTCATTTGGGACATGTTTCTTTGTCTCCTCATTTTGTGTTTTTCTGTGTGTTTCTGTGTATTAGGTACAGCGCATGCCTACCAAGTCTTTGTAAAGAGGCTTAATGTAGTAGATGTCCTGTAGGGTCCAGTGGCACAACCTCCCCAGTCACCATGTTTGGCACTCCAGGTGTACTCACACACATACTACCTCATGTGGGCTTTATACATCCTTCTGATATAATTAAGCCTTGATTGCTATTGGCCCTTTCAATTGGAAGGATTTACTCACAGGCCCATTTACTGCAATGACTGACTGCCAATCACCGGCCACCACAGAGAATCAGCTGTGCAGGGGCCCACTCGACACAGCAGAGTCTATGGTTGGTGCTCACTGAATCTGCCCCTTGAGTGTGTTACTGTGGTGGTGTTTTGACGTGGCCTGAAGTTGTCCACCAAATGTGCTGCCTCTAGGGCCGCCCGGGAAGTGCAGGTCAAGATCAGCACACACCCCGTGTTTTCCCCGTGCCACCTGGCTTGAGCTACAAAGCGATCTAAGTTGCCTGCTACTTGTGCTGGGTTGGAGTATCCCAGGAGAGGCCAAGCTGCAAACCAAGGCCAGCTGCTACTAGTGCAGGGCGTGGGACCACTTAGTGAGAGGTGTGTCGCAAAGGGCACTCTGAGGCTAGATGCTGCTTGTTGAGATATTTTAAGAAAGTCTGAAGCATGAGCTATTCATATGGAAAAGGCAGTGCAAACAGCTTGAGTGAGCCCTCATATTTGGTGAAGCAGGTCTCAGAATCACCATGTCAGGTGAACAGTGTAATCCTGTTGAAGAAGACTCAGATATGGCATCCACCTGCCAGTTCTGTGGGGGGAGGACTCAGAAAAGGAACAATAACCTCTACCAGCATTTTTGTCTGGGAGAAAGCTGACCCCCACACACACACACCACTACCACTACCACCAACACTACTTCCTACCTTGATACCAGACACTTCAATTCCTTCCTATGTCCCTGATGCCTTTGGTGCTGCCATCCCAGCGCTGGAGCTCAGAAAGAGTGAGTCAGAGTAAGTCCATGTTAGGCCCTGTAAGAGGAATGCTTGAGACTCCAGCAGCCCTCCGTCCCTGGCAGTGAGTTTTTAGATATTGTACCAAAAGCATTGACTAGAAGAATTCTGATCTTATGCTCTGTAAGATATAGCCTTGAAAGAATTACAAGCCACAGGGTAGAAGAAAATACTTGTAAATCACATATCTGATAAAGGATTTGTACCCAGAATACGTTAAAAAAAAAAAAAAAAAAAAAAAAAAAAAAAAAACCTCTTGAAATTCAAATCAAACCCCCACAAACAACTGCATTTTTTTTAAGTGGACAAGAGATCTGAAGACCCTGCCCCAAAGAAAATATATGGATGGTAATTAGCATATAAAAAAATTCTCCACATCTTTAGTTGTTAGGAACCTACAAATTCATATCCCAATGAGATACCAATAATTACCTATTAGAATGGTTAGTATTTAAAAAAAAAATTTTTTTAACTGTCAGGTTCTTTGTGACAAATAAAGAAATAAACATAGGTATATATTCATGCAGTGGAATACTACTGAACAAAAAAAGTAACACTGCCTGGCCAGTATAGCTCAGTGGTTGAGTGTTGATCCATGAACTTGGAGGTCACAGTTCAATTCCCAGTCAGGGCACTTGGCTGGGTTGTGGGCTGGGTTCCCATTGCACAGTTTCCATCTCTCTTCCTCTCTGAAATCATTAATGTATTTTAAAAAAATAATAATACACTATTGATTCAAACATGAATGAATATTAAATAATTTCTGAGTTTTTCTAAATCAATTTTCAACAAGTAAATATTTCGCCAAAACCAGTTTGGCTCAGTGGTACAGCGTCGGTCTGCAGACTGAAAGGTCCCAGGTTCGATTCCGATCAGGGGCATGTACGTTGGTTGTGGGCACATCCCCGGTAGGGGGTGTGTAAGAGGCAGCTCATTGACGTTTTTGGCTCGCTCTCTCTCCCTTCCTCTCTGTAAAAAATCAATAAAATATATATTTTTTTAAAACACAAAAAAAACAAGTAAATATTTTGTAGCCAGGTTTCTTGTTCTGTGAGGATAGGAATACAACCTGGTGCTGCCACTGTAGAAAATGATATGGCATTTCCTCAAAAATTAAAAATGGAACTGCATTTTGACCCAGGGATCTCACTTCTTGGAATATATCCTAAGAATCATGAAACACTAATAAAAAAGAATATATGCACCCATTTGTTCATAGCAGTGTTATTCACAACTAGAGGCCCAGTGCATGAATTCGTGCACCAGTGGGGTCCTTGGCCTGGCCTGTGGGAATGGGCCGAAACCTGCTCTCCAACATCCCTCAAGGAGTCCTGGATTGCGAGAGGGCGCAGGCCAGTTCAAGAGACCCCACCGGTGCAAGATCAGTGTTGGGGACAGACGTGGGAGGTTGGCAGGGCTCCAGGACATGTCCGGCCCACCTTGATCAGACCCAATTAGCCAAACCCCAGCAGCAAGCTAACTACCAGTCTGCATGTCTGTCCCCAGGTGGTCAGTGCACGTGATAGTGAGTGATTGAGTGGCCTTTCCATATTATTAGTACAGTATATTACACAATCAGGGACCGCTGGCTCCTGACCCCTCACCTGCCTGCCCTCTAACCAACTGTGCCTATCTGCCTCGTTGCCTCTAATCACTCGCCTCCTGCCACATTACCCCTAACTGCTTGCCTGACTGCCTGATCACCCCTAACCACTTTCCTGCCTGCCTCATTGCCCCTAACAGCCTCTGCCTTTGTGCCTGCTTGCCCCTAACCACTTGCCTGCCTACCAGATCGCCCCTAACTGCCTGCCTGCCTGATCACCCCTAACTGCCTCCGCCTGCCTGATCACTCCCAACTGCTTGCTCAGACCGCCTCTGCCTCAGCTGCTGCTGCTGTGGCTTTGTCCAGAAGGATGTCCGGCTGTCTAGTCTAATTAGCATTTTATGCTTTTATTATTATAGATAGCCAAGATCCATAATAGAAACAGCCCAAGTGCCCATCAGTAGATGAGCGCCATGAACTATGGGACATTTACAAAATGAAATGCTACGTAGCAATATAAAAAAAGGAATTCTACCCTTTGGGACAGCATGGATGAACTTGCGAGAGTATTATGCAACGTGAAATAATCCAGTTAGAGAAAGATAAATACTATATTATTTTACTAATATGTGGAATCTAATGAAAAAATAAACTTAGGAATAAAATAAAACCAGAACCATGGATTCATGGAACAGACTAGCTGGTGCCTGAGGGGAGGGGAGTGGGATAACTGGACAAAGGAGGTGAAAGGATTAGCTAAAGAGCTTGTATCAATACCCAATGGATATGGATAATAGTGTGGTGAAGGCCATGGGAGGGAAAAGCGGTTGGGAGGATATGCAGGGAAAATGGGAGACGTCTACAATAACGTCAGCATTAAAACTTTTTTACTGGAGAATACAACCTGTGGTGTTGAATTTTAATCAGATACCAGCATTTGCTTTAATATATGCAGAAATATATAGTATTTGTAAATGTTGTTTGATGTGTCTGTATTTGTCTGCTATGAGGGCCTAGTTGCCATAATACCCTAGTAGTTAATTATAAGTATCCAGATCCTTCTCAAATATCTGTAGACTGGAAAGTGTAACATCATCGTGCCCCTGATTTTCTTTCTGGTGAGGACTGCCTTCCTGACTTAGAGGAAGGCCGCCTTCTGATGTGTCCTCACATGAATCTTGGGGAATTTTCAAGTCTATAGCAGTCATTTAGCCATTAATTATTGATTATTAGCTACTAGAAATAAGGCAAGGTATAATGAAAATTTAGTAGTAATATTAAGTAATTCCCCTAATTTCTCAGGCTTTAATTTAAGACAGAAGAACAAATTTAAAATATGTGAATATTCAGGAGGGGAAAAGGAATTACCTATTATGTATTGACCATTGTCTTAGTTATGTTACATTTATGCTCAACCTTCACAACAAAAGATTCTGTGAATTAAGAATTAATACAATATGTTAAATTTTTATATATAAAAGTAAGTCTTAGATAAAGTGATTTGTGACACTTCTAATAAGTGTTTAACTTGAAACTGGAACTGTCTGCTCTAAAAATTCTGATTTCTATTTTATCACATAACCTCAGTTCCTTAGTGGTAGTAGAAAATGGGGAAGGGGAACACTGAGTTTAATCAAATAATCCAAGTGAAAATAAGAAGGCACTAATCATTGCAAAGGATGAAGGGAATCTCTTAACGACCAATTTTTTGCTTTGTTCTTTGGCAGGGCCACATGGCTTGCAAGGTAGAAAGTAGTGGGTCCTTGTTTCTAAAGTTATGGCTGGATCACCGGCTCCCAGCTGAAACTGTTTTTATGCCTTAGGGCTATATTATCTAAAGAAACAATCACAGTGTCTTATTCAAACAGACAAGGTTCTTTATACTTAATTTGAGTGACTACTTTCATTTTAGATGGCCTGCTCTTTATACTTTTTTTATCAGCTACTCTGCAATCCAGATATTTTATTAACTTTTATATAGCAAAATGTTTAATTGTGGGAAATATTGGTCATAATATATGGTTTTGGTAATGCTTAATCTTTTCCTTTTCAGTCCTTATTTGGAAAAAACTTGACAACAATTTTGAATGAATATGTAGCTATGAAAACAAAAGGTAAGTATTCTCATTCAAGGATTTTTTTGGTTTGTTTTACACAGTACTTATCTGTTTTAATTACAAATACTTTTTAAAGAATAGTAACACCTTATAAAAACCATAAGAAAACTTGTCACAGTCACAATGAGATAAATTTTACTGGGAAATGCATAATTAATAGTTTCTGTTTATATTGAGTGGTAAATAAATTATAAATCTGTAAATTGTAATAAAAAATAATTTTTTAAAAAACTATAGGATAAAACTCTACTCTGGGTATCTACCCTGGTGAATATGCTATGTGTTATAAAATTTCAAACTAATATTTTTATTTTAAATTTATAGTGTAAATCTGGACACAGGAACCAGTCATAAAATTATGGCTTTTATTGATCAGAATATAAAAGAATCTTTCCTAAATTAATGTTTTAGGCAGGAAGTTCAAATTATTTATTTTATTCTCTAATATTTATTATTTCTGTAGCTTACAACATTAATAAAAGAATTGTCAATAAAAAGTTAATTAGCATAAATTAACATATCAAAAGAAAATAAAATTAACATTTATTGATTATTGTCTGTATGCAGCATTGTGCCTAGATACTTTCTAACGTTTTATCTTAGTCCTTAAAATAGCTCAGTGAGAGCCCAACCTGCATGGCTCGGTGGTTGAGTATTGACTTTGAACTAGGAGAGTGGTCAACATAGCCAAATATCAACAGTATAAACGATTGTAATTTCTTTTGAGAGCCAAATTTTTTAAACTTCTTCTAACGCCATTTCTTCATAATAGACTCGCCCAGGCCATGGTATTTTGTGAAAGAGTCACATGTGGCTCTCTAGCTGCAGTTTACCGACCACAGAACTAGGAGGTCATGGTTTGATTACTGATCAGGGCACATGCCCAGGTTTCGAGCTCAACCCCCCACTGGGGGTGTTCAGGAGGCAACTGATCGATGATACTCTCATGATGTTTCTGTCTCTCTGAAATCAACAAAAAAATATATAAAAAGGAAAGAAAGAATTCAGTAAGAGATATTATTTGTGTCAATCTCTTTTTAAGTATCAGAAAACTGAAAGTTAGGGTAGCCGATAACTTTTCCAGGATTACAAAACGAAATTGCAGAAAGTAATAACAGTTCTGGAAGTTCAGAGTCTGACTTTCTAATTCTTCAAGAAGGTTTCTTGATCTTCCTGCCAAAGGTTTCCCCCAAAAATTTTTTAACTATCGTATAGGAATAGTATTTAGAATGTAAATGACATCAGAAACTATGTGATTGTAATACAAGGATTTATATCCCACTTTTATATTGAGTAGCTTCCTCTGGTTTGTGTTTTTATAAATATATGGGAAAGGTTTTAAACATCTATGAGTTTCCCATCATTGTGGCTTTAGAGCATATCCTAAAAAAGATGAATTCTCAGGAATTTGCCTGTGATTCCAAGTACAGTAACTGGTTAAGACTATTTTTTTAAGGGTTGCTGAGCAATCACAGTGATTTGGGCATGACAATATTAGATGTTGAAAACTAATTTCTATCCTCATAGGAATTTGCATAACCTTTACAATTATTTATTATAAATCAAATTATTTTAATTCACCTTCAAATGTCACATGATGTAAGGTAGAACAGAGATTTTAAAATAGTTTGTCTTTATCACATAATCTCACTTATAATATGGAATCAAGTTAACAAAATAAGCTGACGAATAAAATAGAACCAGAGGCATGAAAGCATGGAACAGACTGATACGTTTCAGAGGGAAGGGAGGAGGTGGGCCGGAAAGAGATTAACTTATATGCATATATGCATTGCCCAGGGACACAGACAATAAGTTGGTAAAGGCCTGGGGCAAAAGGAGGACATCTGTAATTGATAAAGATTTTTAAAAAATAGTTGTCTTTAATTCAAAGAAAATATAAAATTAATAATGTAAAGTAAGCTTCAGAGATTTCACAAATGTCCATTTTCACTCATATTGCATCCGATATTCAGTGGCTTAAGGAAAAAGCCATCTCGTTATAGCTTCAGTTCCCAGTATAATGTCAACAGCTGAAATAAAAGTTTAAGTTTTCTTTATTCATTTTCTCTGAATAGTCAAATTAAATGATATATTTTTTTTCCAACTGGGTTTTTTAAAGAAACTTTTTCTCTCATGATTTAGAAACATCAAATCACGTCCCAGCAATTATGTCATCCCTGTGGAAGAAGTTAGACCATACACTTTCTCAGATCAGGTAATGAAAATCTTATATGAAAAGCTTATCAGAAAGTATAAAATTAAAATGGAATTTTTGGGCTGGAATGCAGATTCTTTGTCCACCAGAGTGAATCCACAGACAGAAACTGGTATAGCAAAGGTGGAGATTTATTGAAGAACAAGTACAGACTCCCACATGGAGAAATGGAAAAAGTCCCACTGAGTTCTTTTTCCCAATTGTTTATAAAGCCTACAGATCCTGGGGCCTTGATATCCCCTCTGATTGGTCACTATTCCCTTAGACTGGTTTTACTACAGTAACTTCTGGACTCAAAGGTTGAACCTCACATGGGACATATGAAGTTCTCCCCACTCCTTCCTTATTATTTTCCTACTAGAGGCCTGGTACACGAAATTCATCCCTCAGCCCAGCCTGCACCCTCTCCAATCTGGGACCCCTCAGGGATTGCCCAGCTGCCAGTTTAGGCCCAATCCCTGGGATTGGCAGTCAGACATCTCTCTCACAATTCAGGACTGCTGACTCCCAACTGCTCTCGTGCCTGCCAGCCTGATCACCCCTAAACCCTCCCTTGCCAGCCTGATTGACAAATAACTGCTTCCCTGCTGGCCTGATTGCCCCCAACTTAACTCCCTTGCTGGCCCAGTTGCCCCTAATTGCCCTCCCCTGCAGGCCCAGTTGCTCCCAACTGCTCTCCCATGCAGGCCTGGTCCCCCTCAGCTATCCCCCTTTCCTGCAAGTCCAGTTGCCCCCAACTGTCCTCTCCTGCCAGCCCAGTCGCCCCCACCCGCCCTCCCCTGCAGGCCTGGTTGCCCCCAACTGCCCTCCCCTGCTAGTCATCTGTGGTAGCCATCTTGGACAACATGGGGGCGGCCATCTTTTGCTAGGGCATGAGGATCAATTTGCATATTACCTTTTTATTATTTAGTATTCCCTTTGGGCTTTCTTCTCCTTCTGGATGAACAGCTTCCTTCCCTTTATTTTGTAAATATAGATCTTTTGTTGAACATCCCTTGAGGGGTCCCAGATTGGAGAGGGTGCAGGATGGGCTGAGGGACACACCCCAGTGCATGAATTTTGTGCCCTGGGCCTCTAGTTTTATAAATATGGCTTTATTAAATATATTGAGTTCCTAAAGTCAAATTGGACCCCTAATGGAATGTTAAGGCTTTCTAATGCATATTGCATTAGATAAAAACTTGATTAAAATTTTTGTGTTTACATGCCACTATTTTTTTTTTCTAAAACAAATAAGATCTTACTCTCCCCCCCCCAAAAAAAAAGTGCTTGTCTTTTTTGTCTGAAAAAGATCTATTGCCTTTATTTTATTTTATTTTTTTTATCTATTGCCTTTTAACTCATAATTTTTTCAGTTCTGACTGCAGCTGAATTAAGAGAAATTTTGTAATGTCTAACTGCTTTGTTTTATTTGTTAGGAACATGCAAGGTTCCCCAGGGTTTGCTGCTAATCAGAGAGGTTGGTATTCAAATTTAAATAAAGATAATATTCAGAATTATTTTAAACTCTGTCAGGAGAACATTTTAATTAATACTACATGTGTGCTAAGTATATATTTTGTTTAAACTACTGCTTTTCTAAGTATAGTTATTCTCATAATAGGAAATAATATCTTCCTTTATTGTAAAAATATACATTTTAAACACTATATTCCCTGTTTTTCTCATTGGCTCTTACATATATTTACATCTTTTTCTCATTTCATAAGTTTGTTTTCTAATTTTTGGAGGTATCATTAGTATGAATTATAATGGAAGAAATATACTCTTAGATTATAATTGTAATTTACTCATTTCACTTTCTTATGACATCTCATAAACTTAGTTGATATTTTTAAGGGCTATTTTTCAATAGATCTCATATGTTAAATAGTAGTCTGTGTCATGTAGATTTCTTAAAATGTCCACACTAATCTGACATTGAGTCAATTTTTTAAATTCTCCTGTGTTTCAGCCCGAACGAGAAGTGGAATTGCGGAAATCAAACGGCAAAGGAGGCTTGCATCTCAAGCAGCTCCCGTTAGTTCAGAGATGCTGACTTTACCATACCTCTCAGGACAGTTTACTACTGCTCCTTTGACAGCTACACAAGTTATTCGGCCAATTAGCCAAACTTCAGTTCCTTTGAGGTCAAATTTTGTAGTGGTTAACCATTCACAATCTCAAGACATTGTGACCAGTAAGTTTAAATTTTATGCTCATAAATTTTGTTGTTAATCAAATTGTGTAAATGAGATGATATATTATCTCTATACTCATATTGTAAAATTAATAACCTCAAAAAAGGCAAGGAAGACTTCCATTAAATTTGCCATGAAATAGCATGTTGTTAAATCTATGAGATATTTAATCTAGGATTCTTATGTCTGTGCTAAAAGGAATACACATTATATTTCTCCAGTGCCTTATATTTTTGTTTATCTTGGCCTGCCCTTCTGGAATGAGGAGTGTTTTCCAGTTCACCTCCATCTCTACATATTGAGAATCCTGTATACTCCTGGCTGAATTATAAAGCTAGTGATAAACTTGGAAATTATCTGGGTTCATCTCGCTTGTTGTATTCTTGAAACTTTGAAACACATGGTATTAAGGGGCAAAAGCTAGTTAATAACAGAGTTGGGATTAGAATTGAGGTGCCAGCTTTCTGTTTCTAGACCTGTTTTCTTTCTCTTCTGTGTAGCTAAAATTCATTGTCATCCATTAAATTATCCCTCATTTCCATCTTTTCTCCAACCTCTTTTATACCTCTGGGTAAAAACACTTAGCATGTATATGTTGTGTTATATACTTAGTTTATACCCTTTATAGTTCTTTCATTCTGCCATGCTCTTTTTTTTTTTTTGAAATTATATTGTACTTTGTGTTTCATTGCAAAACCTTAAACCATAGGTACTATGTTTTATTCATCCTAATATTTTCTACAGTGCCTTGTGCATAATAGATGCTCAGTATACTAACTGAATTATATATAAAACTAGGAGTCTAGTACATGACTCGAAATCACACAGCACCGCCCACCCTCGCATCACCAGTCCAGCCCTGCCTCACTCCCCGGGCCCCGCAACAGCCACAGCCACTGCCTATCCAGCCCTGCCTCCCTCTCCGGCCCTTGAAGCGGCTGATTATAACCAGGCCCTCCCCCAGCACAGGCATGTGGAGGCCCCTGCTACTCCACCCCTGACACTGTGCACGCAACCTCCTCCTGTCTGGTTGACCCATTACAGCGTTCCAGTTAACAAAACTATATGTATAGCATTACTATATATATAATGCTACTTATTCCATTGATTCAAGTTTAGAAAACTAATATATTTCTTTTTTATTTTCCTGAAATACAGCTGGAGAGGCTTTAAATATCATTCCTGGTCCTCAGGAGAAGAAAACTAATGCCAGTTTAATGTCTCCTGGTAGACGCAAAAGGTAAATGCTTTTTAAAAGGACAAGTTTACATTAGAAATAAAATAACAAGATTGGATTAAGTTTTTGGAACTATTTACTGTTATATCTATTTCAAAACATTTGTTTCACATTGTAACCTCCTTAAATCATGTGGCATCCTATATAATAAAAACCTAATATGCTAAGTGTCCGGTCATTCGTTGATAGTCAACTGTTCAACCAATCAAAGCATAATATGCTTTCTTTATGGCAGATTTTCTCAACCATATAAAATAGAAAAACAACTATAATACCTAACATTTATAGGAACCTTGACCTATTTATTAAGTCATATACTTTATTTTATTCAATTCTTTCATAAACCCAATAATGCAGTTGATCTTATCCCATTATAAAGTGAATCAGATATAGCTAATAAGTGGTAATGCTAGACTTCAAGTTCAGGTGTGTATTTTTAATTCAATACTATAATGCTTTACCATTGTACCGCTCTTTGTTTCTACCACAAATTGAGAAAATATTGGTTTTATTGTGATGTACATACAATGTTTGTATGTATAATAATCATTGAATCTGCTAAATCATACTGCTTGAAAGACTCGCTTTTAAAATATGTTTCAGTGAATCGCAAAGGAAAAATACCACTTTGTCTGGACCTCAGTCAACAATATGGAATTTCCAGGATCCAAATGCATTTGCAGTAGAAAAAGTAAGTGACTTTCCCAAACTTTGCAATTTAAGATATTTCTGAGTTTTAAAATGCTGATAAATTTACAAAGACTGTAATTGAATTGCTTGGGATAGAGTAGTGAAGTTTAACAGTTAGAAACAACTTCTTTAGAATAGATAGACTTATTCGAATGCACCAAGTAAGAAATAGTTGAATGTTTAAGAAACAATAAATACAGCCGAAGCCGGTTTGGCTCAGTGGTAGAGCGTCGGTCTGCGGACTGAAAGGTCCCAGGTTCGATTCCGGGCAAGGGCATGTATCTTGGTTACAGGCACATCCCCGGTAGGGGGTGTGCAAGAGGCAGCTGGTTGATATTTCTTTCTCATCAACGTTTCTAGCTCTCTCTCTCTCCCTTCCTCTCTGTAAAAAATCAATAAAATATATTTTAAAAAAGAAAAAGAAAGAAACAATAAATACAATGTTGAATTATGTATCAAAATTGAGCATTTTATTGGAGTAAGATTATTAAAAATCTTTATTAAAAACTAGAGTTTTTAACTGTTTTGTAATCACTGCAGAAGGAATTAGTGAAGGATCTTGGAACACTTACAAAGTATAAAATGTAGTATTCGGGTATTAATATGGAGGGAGCCACCATAACTTTTGATTTTCCACCTAAATTTATTAAAGCTATCCAGCTTCCATTAATTGGTTTTGTTTTGTTTTTTGGTGTGTTTTTTGTTTTTTGTTTTTCACTAATAACGTAATATTCTATCTGTCCTTTTGCTAATACTGACTGACTTTCTTTTCCAGCAACTTGTTATTGAAAATGCACGAGAAAAAATATTAAGCAACAAATCTCTTCAAGAAAAGCTTGCAGAGAACATTAATAAATTTTTGATTAGGTAAGCTTTGTATGTTTAAAATGCCTAATTGTTTTTGCTTAATTAGGAACAATAGTAAAAATTTTCCTTTCTGGATTACAGTGACAACAATATTGCTCAAGCACCTAAGCAAACAGATAGTAACCCTACTGAACCAGAAACTTCAATTGATGAACTCCTGGGACTTCAGGTATGGGTAAGGGTGGCTGTGTATACAGTACATTTACTCATAGTTAAAAACTATGGTATTGTGGCACAGTGGCTAGAGCCTCGGCCTAGGTTTGATTCTGGTCAAGGGCACATGCCTGGTTGTGGGCTTGATCCTCAATAGGGGCCATGCAGGAGGCAGCCAATCAGTGATTTTTATCATTGATATTTCTAACTCCCTCTCCTCTCTGAAATCAGTAAAAAATTATATATATAAATGATATTTTGGTTTTATTTCAAAACCATTGCCAAGAAATTAGATATATAGTTATTTAAAATAATTAAGATAAAGATTTTCTTTATTATCTGAATGTAATCTGTTCCTAAAAATTTGTTAGTGACCCTAGCCGGTTTGGCTCTGAATAGAGCTATGGCCTGCAGATTCCAGTCAAGGTCCCAGGTTCGATTCCAGTCAAGGGCATGTACTTTGGTTGCCGGCATATCCCCAGTAGAGGGGGTGTGCAGGAGGCAGCTGAATGATGTTTCTCTCACATCCATGTTTCTAACTCTCCCTCTCTCTTCCTCTCTTTAAAAAATCAATAAAATATATATATATATTTTAATTCGTTAGTGAATTTTCTGATAACCATTCAAAATTGCATTATAGTCATTTGCCACATAGTATTTTGATTGGACCACATATACAAAGATGATTCCATAATAAGATTACTAGTGGAATTAAATTTTCTGTAAGAAATGGGAAGATATGTGATTCAGGAGAAATTTTTTTTCTTACAGAAGCAGTGTCTGTGGAACGTGGCAATCTGTAGATTTCTTTTCACTCACAGCACCTCAGTTTTTCGTGCACAGGTTACATCCCAGTCAGTCAGCTACTGACCTGTTTCAGTACAGAGGATACTGTCCTCAGTGCTACATATGCGGAGGGCACTACAGCCCTCCCAGATCTACCCAGAGGACATTGTTGTAAGTTGTTTGTTGAAGTCCACAGGAGCTACCTTAGCAGCTATTGAGTGCCACTGCCACTTTAATGAAAGCTTTCTGTGATAGTTTGGAGACAGCCTGGCCCTGTACTTTGGGAATATTTTCAGGTTGAAATGCTGTAAAGCATAGAAAATTTTTATTTCTTTCATCAGTTTAATGCCTGAGAGAAACCTTTGTGCCAGTGGAATGAAAATCAAATTCCAAAGTCAAAATATTGAGTCCTTAGTACTATACCATGTTCATGTTAAACACCCTCATTTTTCAAAAAAAATTTTTTATTGATTTCAAAGAGGGAAGAAGAGAAAGAAACATCAATGATGAGAGAGTCGTTGATTAGCTGCCTCCTGCACAACCCACACTGGTGATCCAGCCCACAACCCAGGCATGTGCCCCAACCAGGAATTGAAATGTGACCTCCTGGTTCATAGGTTGACTCACAACTACTGAGCCATGCCGGCTGGGGCACACCCTCACTTTTTTATGGCTACCACGAAGTTCCTTCATCTTACCACTAGTCCAAAATGCAATAGCCCAAACCACATCATCCTGACTATCCCCTATGTTCCTGTATTTTGCCATCTTGATAGCTATCTATTCCTACTGATTCTCAGGCCACCTATCACTTGTAGAGTGATTTATGCCTTACCCAGCTATATTTCCAATTAGTCTAGCCCACAGCCCTATTCATAGAGCAGCATTGGCAGCTTCAGTGTTCTGTTGCTTATCCTGTTGGGAGGAAGCATGAGAAATTGCTTGTGGGACAATATGTATAAAGTCTGTAGAAGTGTAAAGAATGTATTAGGCTTCACATTCACTCACTGATTATCCAGAGCAATTTCCAGTGTCGCAAGCCCTATTCATACTGAGTGGTATGTGTAGGTATACTATTTGTAACCTTTAGGCCGTATGTTTACAGGACCTTTTCTAAGTTAGATACATTTAGGTACTTGTGTGTTTGTTAAAATTGCCTGCAGCATTCAGTATAATAGCATGCTATACAGGTGTGTGGCCTAGGAGCAATAAGCTATAACATATATCCAGTAGGCTACATTTTCTCAGTTTGATTTCAGGCAGTTCTGAATGATGGCTGTTGTGTATTTTAGTTTTAATTTTGATTGTGGGTGCCAGCAAGTGCCAGTATATGATGTTCACACAATGACAAAATCCACTAATGATGCATTTCTCAGACCATATCTCACTGTTACTATTTTTTCCAGTTTTTTTGAAAAAATAATTGACATACATTACTATATAAATTTAAGGCATATAGCATGATGATTTGACATACATATATTAAAATTGTTTTATTCAAATGGTAAAAGTAATAAAAACCCATTGAATAACTTTAATCAACTCTTCCAGATATCAGTAAAGCACTTCCTGTGTTGTGCAACAATTAGTCATGTATTTCTAAGTATTTAATACTCAAAGATTCATTAGTGGGTATGTTTGTGTGCAATAAGCAGCAGTGATGTGCTGTGTGTAATAAGTTAATTTTCTCTGCAATGCTGTAAACTATAAAAATTTTAAAAAAGATAAAATGGATTCAAGTGATACAAAAGTATAATGAACAGTTACTAACTAAATGAGTAATTTTGTGAGACTGCTAAGAAAAGGAAATGGGGATAATAGCCACTTGCTATTCAGTGAAGGTGAAAGTGCGTAATTTAACAGTATATATTTCAACATTTCGTCCATGAGAAAATAGCCTTTTTGAAAAGCAGCACATCCTTTTTCTTGGACTGATGGGCAGTGTAATCATGTTTGTTGCCATGCCCACAAAATGAATTCATTAAATTCATTAGAGTGGGTTTTCTTTCTGATGATAAATTCTGGTAAAAACCATTGATTTTTTTTTCTTTTTGTTGGTTCCTTCAAAATAATTTTTTTTCACATATATAACAATACATCTATATTCTCCCATGGTGAAATTCAGTAAATTTAACAAAATAGAATAAGCTTTTATAAAGCAACCTTTACATTATCTATCATTACTGCTTTTTATCGCTGCTTCTATCTTAATGTTTAACAAATACATGTGTATTCTAAATTTTTATAATCTCAAAGTCCTTCCTTATATTTTCTCCATAAACATCTAAAATCAGGTGGTTAGTTTACAAGGCACCCTGTTAGATACTAGGAGAGTTTATATTAAAGTGATGATATAACCTTCTGCTATTGGTTGTTTGTAATGTTGTGCAGTATCTGTCAAAAGTTAAATATCCAGGCTTAGATAGCTTTTTAAAAGAACTGCAAGATGCTCTCACTGGTTTGTCTCAATGGATAGAGTGTTAGCCTTCCGTCAAGGACATGCCCAGATTATGGGCAGGAGTTGTGCAGGATGCAGCCTATCAATGATTCTCTGTCATCATTGATGTTTCTATTTCTCTCCCTCTCTTTATCTGAAATCAATAAAAAAAATTTAAAAATAATAATAAATAAAAGAATAGCAAGACATAATATCCAACTGAATAGTATATACCGTATTTTTCGGACCATAAGACGCACCGGACCATAAGACGCACCAGTTTTTAGAGAAGGGAAATGAAGAAAAAAAGATTCTGAAACAAATAGTGTCCTAAAATATTTTATGTGCATTAAAACCCAACATCACAGTCATAAACACATGTAATCAACCCTGTAAAGTAAACAGCAGCATTTAGAACCATTTTAGAGCCGGGCAAGCACACAGAGACCACACAGAGCCGGGCAAGTAAAAAAACTTTTTTTTTACAGTATATGTGTAGGCTATATTTGGACCATAAGACGCAGGGACTTTTCCCCCCCACTTCTGGGGGGGAAAAAGTGCGTCTTATGGTCCGAAAAATATGGTACATCAAATTCACTAAGGCATGAATAGCCAGTTATGCAAATAGGTGAAGTAGGAACTTTAAAAATATTTACAAGACCTGGAGGTAGCAAGATATCTTAGGCTATACAAATAATAAATTTTTACTTATTTTAATCTATATAGGATGGTAATTGTTAACTTATTGTGGAATCATTTTACATTGTATGTAATAGGTCAAATAATTATGCTGTACACTTTAAACTTACAAAGTACTAGTTGTCCAGTGCAGGAAATTCATGCACATTAAAAAGAAATTTTATTTTTTATATTGATTTTTTACAGAGAGGAAGGGAGAGGGATAGAGAGTTAGAAACATTGATCAGCTTCCTCCTGCACACCTCCTACTGGGGATGTGCTCGCAACCAAGGTACATGCCTAGGACCTTTCAGTCTGCAGGCCAATGCTCTATCCATTGAGCCAAACCGGTTATGGCTAGAGGAAATATTTTGATGTTACTATTTGCCCTTTCTCTATAATAGAAGTGCCAGAGATGAAAGAAAATTAGTAAAATGTATATGAAAGTCTCCCTCCTATCAGAGTCTGGGGCAGACTGCCAAACCCAGAGTCAAGCCCCCGCCCAGCCACATGTGCCTCCAAATCCAGTGAGACCCAGACCTGGCTGGCCCCACCCTCGTCAAGCCCCACAGGGCAAGGGGCGCAGCCTCAGGTCCCCTGGCCCGGTGCCAGGGTGGAGTGGGCGGGCACGCACAGCCTCAGGTCCCCTGGGGCAGGAGAGAGGTAGCTTCAGCTTCCCTGGCGTTAGGGCGTGATGACTATTTGCATATTAGCTCTACATTACATAGGATTACATGTCAAGTTATAGTTTGGTTTTATTTTGTATTTATATATATGTATAGTTCCTGTTTATTTAATGTTTGAGAATATCTTATTTTACTAGTATTAAACCATATTAATTCAATGAGGATTTGTTTTTTGTTTTTGGTAGAGTGAAATCCATATGTCTGAAGAAGCTATACAAGATATACTGGAACAGACAGAATCAGATCCAGCATTTCAGGCACTTTTTGATCTCTTTGACTATGGTAAGAAGAACATTTCTTTCAAGGCAGTTAGAAGAAAAAAGTTTCTCCGTTTCTTTGGAAACTTAACCAAAGTGAAGCAACATTTCCCCGAGCATCTGAAAAAAGTTCCTATTTTCATTAAACATTATACAGATATGAAAGGAGTTTTTGTTTTGTTTTTCTTTAAACAAAAATAACTTTAGCTAAGTTGTAAAAATGCAGAACAATTTTCTTTAAGTTTTGGGGTTTTTTGTGGGCATTTTTGCCAGGCAGCACAAATGTGTTGAAGTCTGCTACTATACATTATACCAAACACAGTTGGATAATACAAAAGGAATACAAAAAGTTGGCTATATGCCTCAACCTTATGGCAGAGTGCAGTAATTCTGTGTAGTCTCTCAACCAGCAATATCAGCATTATATGAGAATATGTTAAAAATGCAAAATTTGTGCCCCCCTCTCATGTGATTCTAGGCTAAAGTTTAAGAACTACCTGTCTGGTGGAAGAATCTTTGTACTTGTCAGTTATATATAAAGCACTATATTAAAAATATCCAAATACCATAATTAAAACCAGTGTCTAACATTTGCTTGACCACTGTCAAGCTTCATTAATTGATGCTTATTTTTATTTTAGTCATGTAACCAATTGTTTCCCTGTTCCCTTTTTAACAGGTAAAACAAAGAATAATAAAAATTTATCACAAGGCATTTCCAGTCAGCATATGGAAACCAATCCCAATATAGTCTTAGCAGATGAAACTAATCTAACAGTTAAAGGTTCTTTTAATACAGAAGAATCTGGTAAGAATTTGACTTTGTTAATATCATCAATCCAAACCCTAAATCTCAGTCTCAAAATTTCAAAAGCAAAAACCCTTGTCTAATTTGGAAGTTCAAATTACCATATAGGTCATTTTTGTATTTCTAGTATTCTCTCTTCGCTAGAAAAAATATAAAAAGAAAATTACTCCCCAGATTTTAGTACTTTGATTAAAATATGAATTTTTAGTACTCTCCCATGATACAATAGATTCTTGACATGCACAAATTGGTATTAATGGTGTTGACATATTCAACAAAAATCTATAACATTTGATAGAATTTTTTGAGCCATAAATTCATATCTCTAATATATAAGGTTGGTGTAAACAAATTTAGCTGACTGCTCAGTATCTACAGTATACCTCACTTATTTAGAGGAAATTATATGTTATTTAGGATTTTATGAGGTTTGAGGTAATATTTCTCTGTGTTTATAACTCAATTCTTTATGTATTTCTGCCTCCCATGGAATACCAATATGACACATAATTGCCCCACAGTAACTACTTATTAAAAGAGGGAAGATAGTGAATATCTTCATTTTAAATATTTGCCAGTTTTCTTCAAATTGTACTTTGGTGAAATACAACACATGAACAGAACTGCGCAGTAAAAAATGTATTGAATTACAGTCCAGCAAATACCATATAACCATCTCTCAAATCAAAAATAAAACACCACAGCACCACCAAAACCTCTCTTCATGTTGCTTCCCAATCAATATACTTTCCATCCCTGTTCCTCAGAGATAATCATTATCCTGGTTTCTCTCACATTATCCTGGCATCTCATACTTCTTACTAACCTCTTTAGTACCACCTGTATTCATTTCTATCTTCAACAAGCTATGCCAAAGTAATCATTTCTGCTCATATGTTCTTTAATGTTATCCCTAAAAACCCTGATGGTTTCCTAGTTTTTCATCATGTCTTATAAAAAATTAATTTTGGAGAATCTCAAACTACTTTTCTTCTTTGAGTCCTCTGCCTACACTCAAGTCCAATCCTCTATTTCTTCTTCGCCTGAATTATGTTGGGATATATCTTTCTCACTATATAGTATATGTGAAACAACGTGCTTCAATTAAGCTCTACCATGCACAAAATGAGGTTTGAAATTTATTTTCTCAGGTGGTCCTTCTTCATTGAAACTTGACTAGTGAATTTATTTGGCCTGACTAGAATCTCCACTAATTTCCCCATAATAAGAATTCAAATGTTTTCTGTACCAAATATTATTTTACCAGTGTGACATTAACAGAATTACATGGCTGTTGATAAACATTTCCTGTATTTTTTTATATTGTTAATTGTTACTGTTTTCTGTCCTAACCTGTGAATGCAGTAGGTAGTTTTTCAGTACTGTGCTATTTTATGAAGTATCTTTTCCTCTTATTCCAGCTGTCACACTACATTTTTCAAGATATAATACCTTCTTTGTAACACTTGTTCACATCCCTAGCAAAGAGGTGACTTTTGTTCCTATACTTTACAGTTTTTATCATGTTTTATTACAGTTTCTGTTCTGTATTTGCTTTCCTTACTAGACTGATTTCTCCAATGTCATTCATCTTCATTTCCTAGCACCAATTAAATGGTTGATCTTCAGTAAATGAGTGTTGAATATCAAACAATATACGATAACATCATATGTCGATCATGCAAAATGTGCTTGGCCCCTTTTCACCTTTAAGAATATATCAGATAAAGTCAATAGAAATAGTAGAAGTTAAAAAGTCACCTGTCTTGAAAAAAACCGTGTTTGGACCTCTTTTTTTATATATATGCTGGTAAATATTTGATGTTCTTAAACCTGTATACTTTATCCTTCATTGTGTCTATCATCTATTTTCCGAGAAAGTTGAAAACAATATGACACTTGTTTAAAAGTCATGCTCCTATATACTGTAATATAGAGGTGATATGCAAATTGACTGTTATGCCCTTGCACAAGATGGCCACTCTGGGAGGACCGTTGTGGGAAATCAGGCCAGCAGGGGAGGGCAATTGGGTCGACCATGCCGTAAGGGAGAACAGTTGGAAGGACCAGACCTGCAGGGGAGGGTAGTTGGGGGTGACTGGGCCTATAGGGGAAGGCAGTTGGGGGCAAGCAGGCTGGCAGGGGAGTGTTTAGGGGGTGATCAGACAGGAAAACAATTGAGCGGTTGAGAGTCAGCAGTCCCGGATTGTGAGAGTGATGGCCAAGGGGTCCCAGATTGGAGAGGGTACAGGCTGGGCTGAGGTGTACACACACACACACACACACACACCAGTGCATGAATTTTGAGTACCAGGCCTCTAGTCTATAATAAGAAAAGTACCTTTTAGTACTTTTGATACATCAGACTAATGCTTACCGGTATGTCAATGATTGGTGACTTTCTTGGCTAAATAGGTTTTATGTAAAGATGACTACCTCAAAAGCTGTACATTCTCACCATATCTTTCTACTATGCTAATATTTTGCAGATGATCAATCTGGTCAACCCCCACTTTGTACATCTTATCAAAATGAAGACGCATCAAATGCTTTAAAGAATGGCAGCAACCGTGATGAGCTTAGACAGGAAACCCAGGAACATTTTTCCCAGATAAGTTCCAACATCCAGAAAAAAATCTTCAAAACAGGTGTACCTACTGAACAGAAGTGTAACCTTGATATTACCTATGAGTCTGTGCCTAATTTAAATGACTTTAACCAAAGAGTAAATTCTGATGCCAAATGTAATCAGCATTGTGGTGAATTACACACCAATCAAATGTTCACTGAAACTGACATGGCAATGGAAGTTGAGAAGAACTCTTTGTCTCCAAATGTGCCGAATGAATCTCGATTACAAGTAGATCAGCCTGATACACCAGTAACTTCATTTGTAACTGAAAACTTAACTCTCTCTGGGAAAAGTTCTCAACTTTTATCCCAAAATATACCATCAACTGGAAAGTCATCTAAAAACAGCCAATTTTGTGAAAATTCTAATGATATAGGAAGACCGAAAACTAATTTCCCTGGTTCCAAAACACCAGAGTCTAGAGAAATTCATCAGAGTAAAATTGAAATTGATGGTCTATTACCAGTAACATCACAACTTTCAGAGTGCCAAGATAATTCTTCACATCAAAGTATATCTGTGTCTGTTGAAAGTTCATTTTTAAATGTATCTGAACAAGGAGAAATTGGTCTTGGAGATTCAATATCTTCAATTAAACAACCATCTAATGATTCATCATGTATTGAGTTAGATCATACAGGACATGAAAATCAGCCCTCCAGATCTGATAAAGTTGCTTTGGATTCACAACCTTCATCTTCTGCAAAAGAAGATGGAAATAGTGTTTTTCTCTCATTAGGTGAAAATGAAAACTGTGGGGAAATTGCATTGATGCCTCCAGAAGGTAATCTTGTAGAAGAAAGACATTCTCTTCCTTCAGAACCTGTGTGTTCTTCAGTAGTAGAGTCTCGCCCTGAGTCCCAAAATACTAGTGATAAACCTGCTAGGAACAACTCAACAGAGATAGATGCATCAAATATTGTCTCTCTCAAAATTATCATTAGTGATGATTCCTTTGTTTCCTCAGAGACTGAACTTAACACTGCTGTTTCTAGTATCAGTGGAGAAAATGTGCCAACTATAATTTTGTCTTCTGCTAAATCACCTGCCAAAAGTGCAGAATTAGTTAAATGCCTGTCTTCAGAAGAAACTGTAGGTGCTATCACATCTCCTGAAGGAACAGGGAATTCAGCCTCAATGGAACAGAGCCTTTTAGTGCTTAAACCTGAAGACTCTGCAGTAAACAACACTCGAAGTGAAGACCGCATTGCTTTTTCAGCCAATGTTACATCATGTGCTTCTAAGGATGGGGGGTTTATACAGTTGATGCCAGCTACAAGCACAACTTTCGGCAGTTCAAATAACATTCTGATAGCTACCTGCGTGACTGATCCATCAGCCTTGGGAACAACTGTAAGTCAGTCGAGTGTTGTGGTGGTGCCTGGAAATTCTGCACCTATGACTGCCCAACCTTCACCATCCCAATTACAGACACCACCAAGATCAAACAGTGTATTTGCTGTCAACCAAGCTGTGTCACCCAACTTTTCACAAGGTAACTTTAAAAACATACTGAAGTTTACTTCTGTGGAGTAGGATCTAATTTCTCTTGTGTATATAGTTATTGACTAAGCGATAATAAATCATAGGTAGTATGAGAAAAGATTCTGAAGTGTGTAATCCTCTTTAGCTAATTAATTCAAACTTTTTTTTTATCTGCTAAGCTATGGAATTTAGTGGTTTACAGTTTTTCCTCTTTTTTTTTTTTCAACTACTTCCCAATCCATGTGCTAACCTACAAAAGAGAAAAGAAAGATTAATTTATCAAATAGCTATATATCTACTAAAACCCATTGTTCTGAATTTTTAAAAAATAGATCTATTCTTAATTTTCAAGGAATTTTAAAAAATATATTTTATTGATTTTTTATAGAGGAAGGGAGAGGGAGAGAGAGATAGAAGCATCGATGATAGAGAAACACCAATCAGCTGCCTCCTGCACACCTCCTACTGGGGATGTGTCCGTAACCAAGGTACATGCCCTTGACTGGAATTGAACCCAGGACCCTTCAGTCCTCAGGCTAAGGGTCTATCCACTGAGCCAAACCAGCCAGGGAATTTTTAAGGAATTTATCTATTTGGAAAAACTTTAAGACACAACCTGAATTTCTCCCTCCATAAAATCCTTCGTAATTTCTCACTGTCTTTCACCTTCCAGAATTGATCCCTATCTTTAGACTTCTTTGTTTATAGAAAACTTATGGCAATTAGTACATGTTATTTTCTCTGTAGTTGGTCATATTATTTTTTTATGTATGTTTCTTGAAGGTAGAGCTTATGACACATTCATCTACATTTCCTTAATTATTGGTTCTCATTTCCCTCCCCTCCCCTTTTACATTTGTAGGCATACAGAAACATTTGATTAAATTAAAGTACCAAGCCTAGTGGCTTGGTATCAAGTACTATTTAAAATAAAATAAAAGTAGAGAATGTGGAACTTGAGATGAAACTTAGAGAAGTAAGGTAATATTTGGAATAAAAGGAAGAAAGGAATCTTAAGTAGCTCACGTGTAGGTAGATATTTGAGTTGCTGAAATAGGTATTCATGAAAGTGAGATCATCCTGAGGAACAGTTAATGAATGTGTATAAGGAAAAGATTCATTTACAGGGCAGGGGTAAATTATGATAGCCACAGGCTCTATTGTTGACATCTAAGGACCATGTAAGCATTGTCTTTCATCGTCCCAATTACAGACCTTGGAACTTTTTTGACCAATACCATTGAGATAGGTTGGGGTTGTGAGCAAGTATTGGGCTATTAATATTCAGTTGAAACCCTAATAATCTGATATAAAATTCAGACTTGAAACCTTCACCACCAATTTTCTAATCAGTTTTACTATTTCTAGAGGAATCAAGATATAAATATATAGCCACCCGCCACTGCCCCTGACCACTTCTCTGTTGGCTGGTGCATTCCAGTGGTGAGCTAAAACTAAACCCCAGCTTAGGAAACAGGGTTATTCTTCATGTGGATGACTCTGTGCCGAAAGCATGGGAACAACAAGGAAATGGCTGAAAGAAGAAGAAAAAAATATATATAATAGGATATCTTGCTGTAAAGTCTTACGCTTGTTTATGATATTCACCTTGACTAAATGCCATCACTACTTTAATATTCAAATTCTTTTTTTTTTAATATATTTTTTACTGATTTTTTTTTTTTACAGAGAGGAAGGGAGAGGGAGAGAGAGTTAGAAACATTGATTGGAGAGAAACATCAATCAGCTGCCTCCGGCATACCTCCTACTGGGATGTGCCTACAACCAAGGTACATGCTCTTGACCAGAATCGAACCTGGGACCTTTAAGTCCATAGGCCGATGCTCTATCCACCTACCCAAACCATTTAGGGCAACTTTTTCTTACTTTATTCCTAAATTAATTTCATAAAAAGAAAAGACAATTGTAAGGAAGGGGGATTATAATTTTAGAGAGTTTGTTTCAAATTAGTAATCATTTTGGTGTCTTAAGTTCATTCATGAGACAGATCTTATTTTATTAAATTTTGTTGTTTGTTAGGATCTGCCATCATAATTGCTTCTCCAGTCCAGCCTGTACTCCAAGGAATGGTAGGAATGATACCTGTATCTGTGGTTGGTCAGAATGCAAATTCATTTTCTGCTCCTCCTCAGCAGGTAAGATTTATGAACAAAAAGTGGTGTGTTGGTGTTTTTTCAAGCATAGTTTATAACTAATGGCTTCTTTTATAGGTCCTTCATATGCCTTTGGCAGCACCTGTATGCAGTAGAAGTATCCCTCAATTCCCTGTGCCTCCAAAGTCTCAGAAAACTCAGGGACTAAGAAATAAGCCTTGTACAGGTACATTTTTAAGTTCATTAATGTCAGCTTTATGTTTATATATTCATTTGTTTGCAACAATACCACAGTATTTTCTTTTTGAGTACTTACACATTCCTAACAGGTGATCATCCAATCTTTGCTTAAAGTTTTTACAACAATTTAAACAAAAAGATAAATGGAACAAACTAGAATTTAAAAGAGAATACATACTTATAGGAACTTGTATGTGGTGAAGGTAACAAAAGAAGTCAGAACAGAATGGATTGTTTAATAAATGAAATTTATTGGCTATTATATATATTACAGGAAAAAATTGGAACCCTTCCTTATATCTTATACAAAGGTGAAACCCAAGATGATTAAAGACCTAAAAGTGAAAAGCAAAACAATTAAGCATAAAAGAAAATGTAAGAGAATATCTTAATGATGCTGGGATAAATGAATTTTTTAAAATAGAAAAATATATAATTTATAAATAGAAAAGTGTGATGGTGCTGATTACAAAATTATAACTTTTTCAACAAAAAATACCATTTACAAAGTAACAACCAGACTTTCATCTGGGGCCATGATGAATATTGCATCTAGTTCTTAGACTTCTGTACCTAAAACTTACTTACTTTCTTTTTTTCTTTTTTTCTTTTTTTTTTAATATATTTTATTCATCTCTTACAGAGAGGAAGGGAGAGGTATAGAAAGCTAAAAACATCAATGAGAGAGAAACATCGACCAGCTGCCTCCTGCACACCCCCTACTGAGGATGTGCCTGCAACCAAGGTACATGCCCTTCACCGGAATCGAACCTGGGACCCTTGAGTCCTCAGGCTGACGTTCTATCCATTGAGCCAAACCGGTTTCGTCTGTACATAAAACTTTCCCATCTTTATGATAACAATATGCCCATGTAGATAACCTGCCAAACAAGCTAGCCCTCAGAATTCTGAATTTTTCCATGCTTAAGTCTTCAATCATCCTCTCCCATAGCTTCATCTTTAATTTTTCACTAATTTTTAAAGACCAATAACTTCTCTCATTTCCATATATCCACTGATTCTCTTTTCCACTATTGATAGCTCCTAGAGTTTGAATCCTCACCTTTTACCTGAACACTCAGTTCCATTCTAGTTTTTCTTCTTCACTATTCAGATTAGACCCTACCACATCAATCATTTTTCTCAGTACAATTAAAAACCTTCATATCTACATTCTTCTACCATACCTACTTGGTACCCCCAGCCCTGGATCTAACCAAGTTCACATGGGGGCTTCTGAGCTTTGCTTTAGAAGTGGCTCTGGGCCCCTTAATGCCATTTATTATCCTCACTTATCAGTAAACTTCATTTTAATATGTATTTGTTCTACTTCCAAAATCATTTTTCCTTCCTTTCTTAGAGGAATAATTTTCTCCATTATAAGGTTAATACAATCTACTTATGCTCTAGATTATCTCTATATATAAAAGCCTAATATGCAAAGTGTCCCCACGGGAGTTCAACCTACTGGGAGTTCAGCTGCTCACTATGACGTGTGCTGACCACCAGGGGGTGGCACGGAACAAAGTAAGGCCCCAGCCAGCAGCCAGGAATGGGGGGGTCCCAGCCGGCAGCAGCTAGGGACCCTACCCATGCACAGATTTCATGCACTGGGCCTCTAGTCTTCTGTGTATTCAACTTTTCTTTTTGGGCTCCTTCCCTCTCTGGCTTTAAAGTTCCTTAGGTTTGTCCAATCTGCCAACCCTTTGTCCTCAATCCCTCTTATCCCTCAGTGTTTTTTTTTTTTTTTTATCCATGTTATTGTCTTTTCTCATATTGCCACTCAAACTATTTAAAATGAGGTCATCAGTGACCTAATATTGATATATATATTGGACATTTTCCATTCTTCACTTCCAACTATTGATGGCTTCTGGAAACACCACTATACAATGCTCTTCCCTCTCTAACCTTCTTTAACTGAAGACTTTCACACTCTGCCTGTCCAGGTCTCACCTTTTCCTCAAAGACCACCTTTGCCTACTTTTCCTCCCTTGGTTAATATCACCATTGATTGTTCCTTTATTCTCCATATCTATCTAATTCCCTTTACTGACTCTTAAGACTTTCATTGTCTCTTACCTGGAATATTTAGAGCCATTTATAATAATGAAAGTGTAATATCCAAATCAACGGAATGGCTAAACATTGGAAAGACCGTCTGGATGAAGCCGGGGCTGCAAGAGCCAAGGCAACTGGGGCTACAAAGGCCTACTCTCACGAATTTCATGCATCAGGCCTCTAGTCTAATTATATCTAGAATTCCTATTTCTTCTTTAGTTCATTTTCTTTACCACTGCCAGAGTGACTCTAAAACATAAATCTATTCATGAATATTTTCTATTTAAAAGCTCATAAAGTTTCTCTGTGAAACCTTTTGCATAATATTATACATAAGGTCCTTGCCTGGCCAGTGTTGGCTCAGTTGGTTGGGTGCCCTCCTGTATCCCTAAAGGTTCCTGGTTCGATTTAAGGTCAGGGCACATAACGTGTGTTCCACTTCTGATCAGGGTGCATGCAAGAGACAACCAATTGATGATTTTTTTCTCATTGAGATCTACCTCTCTTCCTTCCCTCTCTCCCTTTCTATTCCCATCTCTCTCTCTCTCAAATCAATAAAAACATTTAAAAAAAAATTTTTTTAAATACATAAGGCCCTTCTTGGTCTCATCTCTGCTTTTCCTTCTAACTTCATGCCTTGCTTCTCTCTCGCATAAACTCCATGGTAATCAAATATGGTTATTAAACCTACATGTGCTGTAGGTGACAGGCTTACAAACATGACAATTATATAGGTACATTTTTAAAATAACAAAACATACTCCTTTCTTTATTTAACTGTCTTTCTAGATCTATGTAGTACTCTTTTTTTTTTTTTTTTCTTTTTCATTCTCATCCTAGGATATTTTTTCATTGATTTTTAGAGAGAGTGGAAAAGAGAGTAAAAGACAGAGAGAAATATTGATGTGAGAGAAACACATCAATTGGTTGCCTTCTGCACGAACCCCAACTCAGGCCAGGGAGAAGCTTGCAACCAAGGTATGTGCCCTTGACAGGAATCAAACCTGGGACTCTTCAGTCAGCAGGCCAACATTCTACCCACTGAGCCAAACGCTAGGGTTAAGTAGTACTATTAAGTGAACATTGTAATTCATAAATCCAAAAACAGATTCATAATACTTGCTTGAAGTTGAAGTAAGGCATTTTTGTTTGCTCTAAAATAAATGAGCGATCATATTATATATATTACAAACCTGCTTTTAAACAATATGTGAAAGTTTTCATTTGTACATTAACTTTCATTTAAATTTTTGTCTCATTATGTGTGACATAGTGTGATCTGTTTCATTTTCTTTCAGAGGAATATACTTTTTCTCTCAGGAATGTTTTTCCTTTCTAATTAACTCATTTATCATTCCAGGAAAGCAGGTAAATAATTTGGTGGATTCATCAAGTCTTTTAGTTGGATGTCATGCACAAAGGTGAGCATAAAAGTAGTTTCTATCAGATTACTTGAATGCACAGATTTAAAAGGTGAAAGATTTCTTTATAAATTGCTAAAGGTAACTTTTTTCTTTTTTTTAAGAATTGAAGTTTCTGAGAAGAATATGACAACAGATCATGGAAAAAAACTCGAAGAAATCACAGTTCCCTTCTCAGTAGAGAATATAGTTCCAACTAGCAAACCACTGGAAAGCCATAGGCGTGTGCTGTGTTTTGATAGCACTGCTCCCGTGGCAGATACACAGGGGACAAATCATAAGATGGTGTCCCAGAGCAAAGAAAGGAATGATATTTCATTTTCTAATCTTGGCTCACCCATGATGTCCTCTACCTTAAAACCCTCTTCTAATAATGCTCTCAAAAGGGAGAGAGAGAAACTTCCTGTGCCTAAGATTTTATCTAAATCAGAAACTGCCATTGGCAGACATACCATAAAAGAAGCTCAGTCAGAAAAGAAAGTTTCATCAACAGAAACTGGTCTTGAATCTTTCCATAAAGCAACAGCTAATAAGGAGAATGAATTATGCAGTGATGTGGAAAAACAGAAAAATCCAGAAATTTTAAAACTATCTAATGGGCAGCAAAATGGAGGTTTACGAAATGAGAAGACTATATCCTCACTGCAAGAACTAACCAAAAAACAAGGCACATCCTCAAACAGTAAAAATGTCATTTCCATAGGTGCAGCTGTGAAGGATCTAAAACAGGAACAAACCAAATCTGCCAGCTCTTTGATTAACCCACTAAACAAACATACCACAGAAATGTTACAGGAGGCTCAGCGTCATAGCCCAGTAAACAGGCTCGTAGACACTGCTCATCCATCTGTGCCCCGGACACCTGGCTCAGGGGCAGGGGAAAAACATAAAGAAGAACCTACCGATGGTATCAAGATCCCCTCTAGCAGGCGTCTCGTTGAAGACGGTAGCACACCCAAAATAATGGTCCCTCCTGTCACCCCTGACCTGCCAGCCTGCAGCCCTGCCAGTGAAGCAGGGAGTGAAAACAGTGTGAACATGGCTGCACACACATTGATGATTCTCTCCAGAGCAGCCATCTCTAGGACTACTTCAGCAACTCCTCTAAAGGACAATACACAACAATTTAGAACATCTGCAAGAAACACCACAAAAAAGCGGAAAATTGAGGAATTAGATGAGCGTGAGCGAAACTCCCGTACTTCGAATAAAAATCTTTCAAATTCGTCAGTACCAATGAAAAAGAAGAGAATCAAGGCAAGTTTGAAAGTCTTAATTTCAAAAGTATACCTTTGCCCTTTATTCAGTGCTCAGATTAGAGAGCTCATCATCTTTTACCATAGCTACTTTACTGAACATTGCTCAAAACAGCTTGAGTGTAATTGACAAAACACATTGTTAGAAGATAGCAGTGTCTCTCAGCTAGTATGATACTCATAAGTTGTCTAGGTGAAACATAGCATTTCAGGACAATTGCTAAGGCATCTATACTCGTAAAAGGGTAACATGCTCATTAGATTGGACATCTTCTGGACAAAGCCACGGTGGCGGGGGCCAAGGCAGAGTTTGTTAGGGGTGATCAGGCCGGCAAGGGAGGGCAGTTAGGGATGATCAGGCTGGCAGGCAGAGGTGGTTATGAAGCGATTTTGCAGGCAACCAGGTGAGCTGTTAGGAGCCAGCAGTCCTGGATTGCGAGAGAAAATTACAACTGCCAGCAGCTGGACATCCACCAAAGGGTCCCGGATTGGAAAGGATGCAGGCCAAGCTGAGGGGAAACACACACACACACACACACTAATATCATGCACCAGGCCTCTAGTCCTACTAATAAAAGAGTAATATGCAAATTGACCATCACTCCAACATAAGATGGATGCCACAAGATGGCCAGCAGGGGAAGGTAGTTGGGAGGGCCCAGGCCTGCAAAGGAGGGCAGTTATGGGCAATCAGGCCAGTAGGGAAGGGCAGTTGGAGGCAATCATGCCTTCAGGGGAGAGTAGTTAGGGGCAAACAGGCTGGCAGGGGAGCAGTTAGGCATCAATCAGGCTGGCAGGGGAGTGGCTAGGGGGTGATCAGGCTGGCAGACAGAAGTGGTTAGGGGCAATCAGAAAGGCAGACAGGCAAGCAGTTGGGAGCCAGCAGTCCTGAATTGTGAGAGGGATCCCAGATTCGAGAGAGTGCAGGTTGGGCTGAGGGACACACACCCCCATGCACGAATTTCGTGCACCAGGCCTCTAGTTTATGAGCATCTTCCTTAGGAAAAAGAGTTTTTTGTTTGTATCATGGTATGATGAATTTTTTAGAGGTACGGGTTGCTGTAAGGTATGAAAAATTGGTAAGCTACTGTTGTGTGTGGAATTACCAAGTAAAAACTACTTAATTCCTACATCTTTATCTTTTTTTTTTTTTTTCCCATGTCCTGTCATGTTTTCATGGGCTCTTATAGATGTTAATATGTGGAGCAGTGTAAAAACTAAACTTAACCTGTTTTTTCCTTAACTATGGAAAGAAATGCACTGCAGGGATGAAACTCATTTCTTTCTTTTTTTCCATATATTTTTTGTTATTGATAGTTTTACTGATAGTTCCCATTTTTGCCTCCCCTTCTCCTTCCTCCAAGCCCCTACTCACCCCTTCAGGTCTTCATTTCCTTATTACTCATGTCCACGGGCTATGCATATCCTATGTAATAAAGAGGTGATATGCAAATTAACTGTCGCTCCAACACACAAGATGGCCAGCAGAGGGAGGCAGTTGGAAGGGACCAGGCTGGCAAGGGAGGGCAGTTAGGGGTGACTGGGCCAGCAGGGGAGAGCAGTTAGGGGCGACCAGGCTGGCAAGGGAGGGAAGTTAGTGGTGACTGGGCCAGCAGGGAAGGGCAGTTGGGGGCGACCAGGCCTGCAGGGGAGGACAATTAGGTGCAACCAAACTAGCAGGTGAGGGCAGTTAGGGGTGACAGGGCCAGCAGGAGAGGACAATTAGGTGCGACCAGATCAGCAGAGGAGGGTAGTTAGGGGCAGTCCAGCCAGCAAGGGAGTCATTCAGGCTGGAAGGGGAGTGGTTAAGGGGTGATCAGGCTGGCAGGCAGAGCAGTTGGGGCAATCGGATAGGCAGGCAGATGAGTGGATGGGAGCCAGCAGTCCTGGATTGTGAGAGGGATGTCCGATTGCCCATGTAAGCTCAATCCCAGTGGGACAGGGCAGTCGGACATCCCTTCTGGGGTCCCAGTTGGAGAGGGTGCAGGCTGAGCTGAGGAACTCACAAACATACCCCCATGCATGAATTTTGTGTACCAGGCCCCTAATAAGTATAAGTTCTTTGGTTTCTGACCTGTTTACCCATTCAGTAAGTGGATTGAATAGAAAGAAAGGTATTTAAAATGTATCAGGGAAAGAGTGTAGGGTTTGCTGCCTTCAAACCTAGGTTTGAATCATGCATCTCCTTTTCATTGCTTCTGCGATATGATTAAGTCCATAGCTCCCTGAGTCTCAGATGCATCATTAACCAAAGGTTACGGTATTACCTTACCTAAATGTATTAGGTCTAGTAATAATTAATGTCGTTTTCTAATACTTTTTAAAATCGAATTTATTTAAACAATACAACAAAATTTAGTCAACAATATAGTTACCATTGTTTTCTACTACTTGTGCCCAACGCTCAGGAAGCATTTTAATCCCTCTGCTGTAAAATTCTTGTGATTTTGATGCAAAAAATTCGGTCAATGCATTTTTGAGGCATTCTTCATTATTAAATTTTTTTCCAAGAAGAAAGTTTTGCAAAGAACGAAACAAATGGTAATTGGAAGGGGCAATATCAGGAGAATATGCAGGTTGAGGGAGAACTTCCCATTCCAACTGGCGCAGTTTTTCAGCAGTGATTCTTGCAGTATGCGGTCGTGCGTTATCGTGGTGAAGAATTATGCCCTTCCGATTAATCAGCGCGGGTTCTTTTTCTCTTAAAGCTTGGGCTAACCTTTCCAATTGGGCACTATACACTGCACTTGTAATGGTTTGGTTAGATGGTAAAAGTTCATAATGAAGAATTCCTTTAAAATTCCACCAAACACACAACATCACTTTTTTCGCATGCAAGTCAGGTTTTGGCGTGGGCTGCGGAGCCTCATTTTTGTCCAACCATTGAGGCCGCCTTTTCAAATTAACATACAGCACCCGTTCTTCATCTCCGGTAACAATTTGCTCTAAAAACGGCAAACGGTTTTGACGAGAGAGGAGCGAACTGCAAATTGTGACTCTTTGATTACGGTTGTTGTCGGTCATCTCATGAGGAACCCATTTTCCAAACTTTTGGACTTTGCCAAGTGCACGCAATTGATTGGAAATTGTTTTTTGTGAACAATTTAAAGTTGTCGCAAGCTCTTGTTGGGTAATTTGAGGATTTTGCACCAAAAGAGCTTGAAGAGCTTCTTGATCAAAATTGGACACACGGCCTCAACCACTCTTGTCATCTAACGAAAAACTTCCCTAGCGAAATTTCTCAAACCAACGCTGGCATTTTCTGGCGCTAACTGCATCTTGACCAAGAGCACTACAGATGTTTTTTGCAGCCTCACTTGCTTTTCTTCCTAATTGGAACTCGTAAAGCATGCAGTGCCAAATATGCTCTTAATCCGCCATCTTCTTAGCCCTAGTTTTGCAACAAAAACCAAACACAAACTTTTTCAAGCAAAACTTGTTAATTGCACTTCACACGTTCTGTAGATACCACGTGTTTGAAGGTTATGTCAATACAAGTCAACGCCAAGCAAGATTTTAAATGAATGTTTAAAAACGACATTAATTATTACTAGTGTTTGTAAAGTGCCTGGTGTGTATTAAATGTTTAGAATTTGAGAAGTACCTCATAATGTTAAAATCTAAGTCAGTCTTCCTAATGTTTATGATTTGGCAATAATGATCACCTTATGTTGTATCATATTTCATTCAGCAATTACACTCTGGATTTGTATAATGTCTTTTGCCCTAAACTAATGTTGGAGAACCATTGGAATATTTTATTATTCTCATCCCAAGATATTTTTTCACTCATTTATAGAGAGACTGGAAGAGAAAGGAAAAGACAGATTTCATTATATTTGGCTCTACTTCTCTGTAAAACTAAAATTCTAAGTTGAAAAAATTTGTCAAAATTTTTAGTATATGGAAGAACTCGATAAAATGTTCTAAGTGATTTAAGAAAGTTCTGGGGCTTTGTTTGAGTTCAATATGTTAACTTAGGTTTATTTTTCTTTTTTCTGTTTACTTTTTTATTTATTTGTTTTATTTATTTTTATTTTTTATTTTTTTTGACAGAAAAAGAAGCTGCCCAGTTCATTTCCAGCTGGAATGGATGTGGACAAATTTTTGTTATCCTTGCATTATGATGAGTAAACATGCTGAACATATAAGAACAATAGTTGTTTAAAACTCGTATCCCTTAAACTGTGAGTGTAGGGAATGAGATATTGACAAAATCTAAAAGCTTGACCTGCACTTTCATTATACTGAAATTTCACTTTATATCTAAATCATGCTGTTTCTGAAGCAGCTTCCTAGCTTGTAAATGGATTTACCTGTTATATTTTTATTTTGGGCTGGGGGAGGGGGGGAATTGCAGATATGTAAGTAAAGCCATTCTGCAAGTCTGTATAGCTTTGACAATTGCATATTGTAAATATTGTGTAAACATTGTTGAAATAGAGGTTAAGTCAACCCAATGTTCTTAACACTGTGTTTTTTTACTTCTTATGATACCTAATTCTGAGGTTTTTATTTATCTGGAATAGTTTCTCACTGTTGGGGGAGGGAAGATAATGTTTTTCCTTATAAATTGCCTTCAGTAACTGTCCAATGAGACATATAAAGACATAGCCACTAAATAGTACAAAAGTGATAACCACCTCCAATGGTAAGAAACTAACAGTTTGGAGGTTTTTCTACAGTGAATACTTTATCACCCCTTCTTATAATTGCAGTAAAGATTATATTCCTGAAATTTATACTTCCTCTGGTCGTTCTGGTCTCTTTGTTTTAAAGAGAGAATTTTTTTAAACCACATGAGTATTCTGATCTTTTGTTTATAACTTTGTAAATGTTTTACAGAACTTTAAGTATTTAGACTATTGAGCCATAAAAGGTTTGGTTGAGATTTCTTGGGATGTATATACTTTTCCCCTAAATACTGGGGATTTAAAGAATTGCACTAATTCTTAGAACTCCTTATGTAGTAGTGACCAACGCACACTTAATTTAAATCTTGTATCCTATTTTAAAGCTTATGTGGAGGATTATCTTCTGATATCCTTTTTAGAAAGCCATGCTTATCATAAGGTGTAAGAAGAGAAATCATAGTTTTATATTTTAACGTAGATTCTCCTAAAATGGGCTGTTAAATAACTATATCTATACTCAGATATAGTGCATTGTCTTTGTGCTCCTTAAAAATGTTATAAAGAGTTACTTTCAAAAGGAGATGAGAGGTGCCTTCTCTGTATTAGACTTTCACACATCAGTAAGTTGATGGATTGATTTAAACATTTAAATGAGAATAGAAATTATAATTAGCACCTGACCAATTGTGCCTACACATTAAAGTGTGTTCTCTTAAGTGCTTTCTGTTTGGTTAAATATCAGTATATTAAGCTTTTTTTTCTTTTTCTTTTTTTTTTTTTTTACAGATACATGTACATTTACAGAGTCATTTTGCTCAACTTTTTTTTTTTTTTTTAATACTGGGCCTTTAAAAAGTGAAATCTATTCTACTCCAAACAACATTTCTCCATGTGGAAATCACATCTTTATTACTGAATCTCACTGCAGAAATTTATATTGTAAAAAAGTTTTCTGATGTGGCAATAGTCTATTCCTAAGGAACTAAATATCATACAGTTGATATTTGTTTAACTCAGCTTGGTACTGTAATACAGTTAGGTTTGAATAAATATTTTCATTAACTTAAAGTTTGAATTCTTTCATATTGGCAGTCATTCTTATTTAACTATCTTGGTTACATTCCTTTGCAAGTCAATTCTTGCATGCTTTTTCAGAAGTTTACATAATGCTGAGAATTACAGATTTTCTTTTCATTCAATTAATATCTATTTATATGTGCTAAGCACTAAAAATGCATGTACAAATAAAATAATTTCACTTTGTTCAAGATTCTTAGTTCACTAGCCAGCAGCCACTAGAAATGTCCAGAGGCAGCTTATATTTAGAGCTTTCATTTATGTTCAAGATAAAAAACATAATCCCTATTTTACCTTCAAAGTCCAAGCATGCTGGACTAAATAGTAGTATTGTTATCTGGTAACCTGTTTTTAACAGTCAAATTCCAGTGATGACATTTTAGGATTAAATCTTACCACAAAAAAACTTGTAGCTAGTTTTACAACTACATATAAAAATACACTCTTAATTTTGGACATTACTTAGTGGTTGATGTCAGTGTATGCTAAATCTGAAAAATCTTATATTTAAAATTTGTGATTATTTTAACCCTGGATATAGTTGGAACCCTTTAGTATGTTGAAATTGTACATGAGAAAAGCATACATTAGCATTTATCCAAAGAGATGTTAGGACTATTAGGGAGACCTGTATTTAATTTTGATTGGAGTAATTTCAAAGGCACATCCTAATAAAGAGGGAATGTGCAAATTGACCACATCATCACAAAGTTGGTAGTGCCCAGTTCTCTCAGCCCCACCAGAGTCCCCCAGTCCTTTCTACCCCATGGCAGGGGGAAGGGGGTTGGCAGGCGGGTGGTACAACTGGACCTGCCCTCAGCCACCCAGGGCCACACGAGTCTTACGCTGCCAGCAGTGGCAGCAGCAGATGTGTGATGGGGGTGTCACCTTCCCCTGATTGCCAGGTCGCCTCCTGCCCCTGAAGACTCCCATACTGTGAGAGGGGCAGGCTGGGCTGAGGGCCCCCCTCCAGTGCATGAATTTTCATGCACTGGGCCTCTAGTTACTATATATTCTGCAGTGATCCATTTCTCAAGCTACTATCTTTCAGCCTCAGGTCCGGCTTCTTGAAATTACATTATTAAAAAGTAGTGAACATACTTGTACCAGTAAATAAATATTTGTTTCGGTTATCAGTTCCATAGGAGACATTTTAGATAGTGGAATTACCAAATCAAAATGAATGCAGTTTATAGGATCTCAAAACATTTTGCCAAACTCTTCCAGAAAATTAATTTATATTTCTACTAGCAAATTGTCATTTCCTCCATAGGATGCTTATGAAGTATATTCAGCTGTACCATCACTGGTTTCTAAATCCTAAATATCCGATTTATGAAACCCAGCTAGCCATAAAGGTATAAAATCAAATTTTGGCCTGTATTAAGTTTATATACATACACTATATACTATGTCATAAAAGTTTTCTGTGATACTGATTAAATCATGGTTTTGTATTCATTGTGGCTTCTTATTTTTTAAGTACTCATCCCTTTTATGCCTCCTGATTAACTTTAAAATCACCTGTATTATTTCAATTAAATTCTATTGGAATATTCATTTCAGTACCTATAATACCTGGTACTGAAAGAAAATGGTAATGACAATATGGTATCCAATATAATAAAAGGCTAATATGCAAATCAGCCAAGCAGTGCAACGACCAGTCGCTGTGATGCGTACTGACCACCAGGGGCAGATGCTCAACGAAGGAGATGCCCCGTGGTGGTCAGTACGCTCCCATAGAGGGAGCACTGCTCAGCCAGAAATTGGGCTCATGGCTGGTGAGCGCAGCAGCGTTGGTAGCGGCGCTAAGGATGTCCACCTGCTGGCTTATGGGAAGCGGGCCTAAGCCATCAGTTGGACATCCCCCAAGGGCTTCCCACAACTGCAAGAGGGCATGAATTTAATGCACCAGACCTCTAGTATCTAATAGTTTTAAAGTTATTTGTATTCTCATAAATGTCTTGCTTAACTGGATATTTTATTTGTTGCTATTTTTGGGGACTTCTTTATTACATTGTTTTAACTGGTTATTGCTTTTTTAGTTAATGTAAAATTTTTATGGAAGCATATCACAGAACAAGTGCACCAACTAGTAAGTTCAAACAGTTAATGAATTTTCTAAAAGTGTACACATCTACTTGACCACCAGGATAGGTATGGAACATTTCCAGTACCCTGGAATCCCCTCACACTTCCTTCAAATAACTGTAAGCCTCAGGGGTGACTTTTTCTGACTTCTAGCACCATAGTTTCAGCTTTTTCTTCTTCTTTAACCATGGATTTCTGCATTATATAATCAATCTTTCATAACTTCTTTTGCTGAACATAGTGAGATGTCATGTCTTTAATTCAATCTTAACCTCGTGCTGTGTACTTTTTCATTGTGTTTATCCACTTTGTATTATACCATGCATAATCCAATTTATAGTTGAACATTTAGGTTATTTCCAGATTGGGGCTTCTATGGATAGAACCTCTCTGAATAGTTTTGTACATACTTTTAGTGGAATGTATTATACTTTTCAGTTGGATATATAATTAGAAGAGTTGCTGGGTCCTAGAATTGATATATTCAACCTTATTTAGATTTTTCATTTTTCAACAGTGGTTATGCCAAATCATACTATCAACAGTATAAGGAGAGCTCCAGTTGTTCTAGATCATTGTTAATGCTTGATGTTATCTTCAACACATTTTGAAGTATTAGTATCACATGGTAAAGGGCTTTTTTATGCTTTTTTTAAAATAAATTTTTATTGTTCATATTATTACAAATGTTCCTTCCCCCCCCCCAACCCCAACATTGCTCTCCTCCACCAGGTTTCCACCCCACCCTCTGCCCTTTCCCCACTCCCCATTGTCCTCATCCATAGGTGCACAGTTTATGTTCAGTCTCTTCCCAAATCCCCCTCTCCTCTTTTCCCCAAGAATTGTCAGTTTACTCCCCTTCCATACCTCTGATTCTATTATATTCAACAGTTAATATTTTTCATCAGATTTTTTTTAATTCACTTGGTTTTTAGATTCACTTGTTGATAGTTACGTATTTGTTGTTCATAATTTTTATCTTTATTTACTTTCTCTTCTGAAAGAACCCCCTTCAGCAATTCATATAATTCTGGTTTGGTGGTGGTGAACTCCTTTAGCTTTTTTTTATTAGTGAAGCTCTTTATCTGTCCTTCGATTCTGAGTGATAGCTTTGCTGGATAGATTATCTTTGGCTGTAGGTTCTTACTATTCATCACCTTGAATATTTCTTGCCATTCCTATCTGGCCTGCATGGTTTCTGTTGAGAAATCAGCTGACAATCGTATAGGTGCTCCTTTATAGGTAACTACCTGCTTTGCTCTTGCTGCTTTTAATATTCTCTCTTTGTCTTTTGCTCTTGGAATTTTAATTATAGTTTGTCTTGGTGTGGTCCTCTTTGGATTCCTTTTGTTTGGAGTTCTTTGCATTTCCTGGACTTGTAAGTCTAATTCTTTCACCAGGTGGGGGAAGTTTTCTGTCACTATTTCTTTCAGTATGTTTTCAATATCTTGCTCTCTCTCATCTTCTGGGACCCCAATAATTCTGATGTTGGTTCGCTTGAAGTTGTCTCAGGTTTCTTACATTATCTTCAATTTTCTGGATTCTCTTGCCTTCTAGCTTCTGTGGAGGAGTGTCTTCTGGCTCTTTATGTCCAACTCTTTGACTTGATTCTTGTGGTCTTCCATTCTGTTTTTAGGACTCTGTATAATATTTTTTATTTCAGTCAATGAATTCTTTATCTCTTATTGATCCCTTATCATTTCTTGTTGATTCCTTATTAACCCTTTGCACTCCGCTGTCCCCTCTCAGGGGACATCGGAATTCTAGCATATCACTCAGATGTCCCCTCTCAGGGGGGACATTGCAGTTAATTAGTGATCACGGGGAATTGAGTTAATTCAACGCATGCGTCCGCCGCAAAGTAGTGTCGAGTAGCTGGTAGCCAATGTCCAGAATGGTTCGGAGTGCAAAGGGTTAATTCTAGTTGATCTCTTTTCATATCCTCATAGGTCTTATCGATCTTTTCTAGGAAATTCTTGAAAAACCTTATAAGCGTAGATTTGAACTCTATATCCAGTCGCTTTTTGTCCTCCGTTTCTTTCGTTTGTGATCTATTTCGTCTCCGCATTTTCGCAGCTTTCCTGAGTTGGTAGCCTTAAAAGTCTCTGTGTTCTACTTGGATCGGGCGGGGTTTCAGGGTGGAGCCTACAGCCTTGGCTTCCGTCAGCCCCGCCCTATGCAGATCCTGGGTCTCAGTAATCCCCACCGTCCAGTACTCACTGCTAGCACCTCTGAGAGAAAGGTGCCCTCGATTTTCGCCTGCTGTCAAACAGTCTAGGCTTTCCCCCAATGAGCCCGATATTGGGGTTCAGTTCAGTTGGAAGTGGAGTTGGCGGTGGCGTTCAGAGCAGTCTGGAGCCCCAGTCTCCTTCCTGCCAGGGCAATCCCGGGGCACAGCCGACTGTCCCTTCTCTGCGCACAATGTGCGCGCCACTCCTTTCGCCTCTCCCCCGGGGGGTTCCGCCTTACAGCCCAGCTCCCTCTGTGTGAGCCTGTGTCCCCAGGGTCTGGCCTAGAACTGGGGTTCAGAGCAGTCAGAACTGGAGCCAGCACAGTCGGAGTTTTATCTCCTTCCCCCTTGGGAACGCCAGCCAGGCACTCAGCCTCCCTCCTCTCCGGCTCTGTCCTCTCCGTGTGTGCTGCATGACTCCGTACCTTAGGCTTTTACAGCTCCTCCGCGCTTCCTTCTGGTTTTCTCCTTCTCGTTGTAGAATTTCCAGTCAGTCGACTTTCCTGTAGTTCTGGGTAATGTCCATTTTATATTTTAGTTGTATTTTATTGAAATTGTTATGTGCGGCTACGGCTAGGTGTTTACCTGTCAGCCATCTTGGAATGACTTTTTTATGCTTTTTTTTTTTTAATTGAATTTATTGGGGTGACATTGGTTAATAAATCCA